GTTTAAGGGTGAAGGGATAGGGCGAAGGTTAAAAGTGCAGGTTGATAAAGCGCCTCGACTATTGGAACCGTTAGAAGAAGCAGAGCAGAGCACCGCGACGGTTCGCAGGGACGCGAGTCGCGTGGAGGCGTGTTACTATGTAAGGTATGCAGCCGCGGACATTTTTGTAGCTTTTTATTACCCCTATCCCGACATCTCCTCCATCGGTCACTGGCGAAAAAGACGAAGACGCCAACGGTGGTGTGGTAAAAAGTAACATCCTCATCCTCGGACGCGAATTCAACTTTCGCGAGCAAGAATACGGATTTTGCTAGACTCGCGCGAGATGCTTGCTTCGTTAATTTCAGAAAGTCGACGGAAACGTCTAGAGAATAGAGTCATGAAGCCTTATAAACATACCGACACTTCGTATATACCTTATTCTACTATACCATTCAAATAACTGGTTAGAAAATAAAGGTAAACAAGTTCACTTTTCTTAGTGGCAATAGAAACAAAAGGAAAGACAAAAATTGAGAAACTGATTGATCGGGCAATATAGGAATTGATAGAAAGTTAAATAAACGAAAGAAAATGCAGAATTTTCCATCAAATTTTAAAACCGCGATATACCCAATTAAATGAATCTTTTTCATTTTGTGTATTTTGTTCTGAAAATCACGCGGTATTCAACGTGTTAACGCAAAAATCACTCCTGACGTCCTGAAATTCGTGCTCAGTAACATTTTTAGGAAGTCAATGCAAATTTATATTTTTGTATAATTCAAAGAAATTGGGATGAAAAAATATTTTATGTCCGTCATTAATGTATTACGCGATAAGTAAATTTCATAAACATTCCTTCGAGAATGTAGAAATTGTTTTTTTTAAGCACATAAATTGTTTCAGTATACAAATTTAAGCAACGTAACAAATTCTTTAGAAATATTTTATGTATTATACACTATACATTACATATTCATGCGTGCATAAATGAACAGTGCCTGAAGGCAACATTGACACATAATATAAATGCGATGTGTTAATGGTACCGGTAAATTGAAAATAAAACGAAACTTTATTAACTTTCACGAAGATTTCTGCTTGGTAAGTCGACAGACATAATTTTTCGATTATTACAATTTCATTGCAATAGTAAAGTGATCCGTGGAAAGTCCGACATGAATTTCTTTATGGAGTAAAAAATAAAATATCATCGAATCGTACCGCGTAATCTGTATAAACGATTGTCCAGGACATTATCCTGAAAGTCTTCTCTTTCAATAAAAACAGGGATTATTTATTCGTATCTTACAATTACGCCTTAAGGTTACATAAAATTCTGGTCAAACGCGACGTCCGAGCGAAACCTCTTGCGTATTAAATTAGTTAGGGTCGCCGATTAACTCAAGATCATTTACAAGCCAGGCTAACGGCGTTGCTACCTTTACCGCCTCATGACCGTCCACCCCGTTTTCATCGCAACTGCTGTAATTGAATTCGAGAGCAGCTTCACCGTTCCTAATTTGACTTTCCGTTTACATCAAGGATGAAAAAAGAAACTCGATAACTTGCACGGGGAAATCCGGACCTCCGTCATTTCCTCCTGAAAGCTTTGAATCTTGTAACCTTACAATTACGCGCATGGTTTTCCATTTACTGTAGTACCAACAATCTATCATGTATACTCTCAAAATGGATTTCCTGGACATTAAAGAAACGAGAAGCTTCAAAACTGGTACAAAAGCTGAAATAACTTCAAGACTTTTAACACTAAAACTACTAAGCAATTAAATTGAGTTTTTGAAATTCCTCTATAAAAACTGCAAGAATGCATCTGCTGAGACTTTAATTGATTTACAATTCAGTTTGCGTATTGCTGAATCAAATTCCTTAATCATTTCTCGGAGAAACATCTGTTATCCTCTTAATAATTATAAAAAGAAGAAATCAGAAATGAATCACTTCGATCCGTCTGGTAGTTCTAGTGTTGAATGTTCAATTATCCTAATTTGTGCGATTCAAAAGAGCTTAAGGAACTCGATAAATAAATTCACCTTTCGAATATTTTTGTAGCGCGACGATTTGATACAAAATTACCTTTCTTCAGTATTAATACAGCGCGATGTTTCGCTCTAGGAGTTCAAGCTTAAAAACTTTCTTTTCGCAATTTATAAGTATATTTGTAAAGCAGCGGAATTTGTAATTAATTAGTTGAACGTAGCCCAAGATTTCACGCCCGCCGTGAAAAAAAAAGTAATTGCGAGAGTAACCTGTTTAAAGTTTTAACTGAGCCAGTGAACTACTCACAGAGCGTCGTTCAAAATTAATAACTTCGTTAGTTCTTCGAATGTCTGCATTGAACTTGTTTTATAATGTTTCTAAGATGTAAGCATCGCGAATTCATTTACGGATTAATATAAAAAGGAATGAATTTCTTGAAATTTTCCTATGATTACCGTTTTAAATCGATGAATCTCGTGTCGCAGTTTCATTAAGGATATACGTTTTATAAATCGATATTAATCGCGCCGTGTGCATGTACTCTTATATATAGGGTACGTCCACGTCCTCCTAAAAATTGTTATCTTGTAAATTCGCGATTACATGACTTTTTCCCATTTATTTGGATAGCCGAAAGGTATTCAATAATTTATGGGTTACTTTCTTCGTACGGTTTATCTCGTGTAACAGGCATGCGCATACGTATCTTTTTATCCGGGTTGAGGCGTCGTACTCTGTGAATAACGATGTTATTACTGGGACATCGATAAAAATGTTTCAGTGTAACCGTATCACTGGCCGATATATTACTTCCGTTTTGATACTAATTGCCCGGTACTTTTTTTACACAAAATATCTTATCTCGGAAAATTACAAGAAACATATTTTATCCCCAAGGGCTAATAAAAATGTCCTTGTGTAGGTGTCCGCGTTTTTGACGCTTCTAACGCGTCACACGATGATTTCTTTCGATAAAGCGGATATAGTCGGCTGATAAAATGAAGTAGCGTCGTTTAATCGATGTTTCTCGGATTTCTTGTAAGAATTTCTGACCTTTTCTACTCGACTTTTTGATAATACGAAACATTACGATAATATGAAATTTTTGATAATTCAATTGAACTGAGGATTTCATATTTTTGTAGCAATTTATATTTTCTGACACTGTGCGTACGGAAATATTTAAAAACATTTAAGGAGTTTTACCTTCTTTGAAATTTAACAGCCTTACTTCAATGTCTGCACATTAATCTATAAAAATGTATATGAGCATAAAGATCCTCAGTATATGGTAACTTAACATGATTACGACTTTCCAAGAAAATAATACGAACTGCATTGGCAGTAAAATAGATTACATAGTAACTTTCCATCGAAACAGATACTCAAAAGGATGGGAATCACATTGGTAGGAAGCTTTCAGTACACAAATACTGTCTACAAAATAAATAAACTTGGAACCTTATTATACATTAAAATCGTCCTCTCCGTTTAAGCGTACAGAAATGTTGCAACAAGTAGAATATCCTGAGGAATCAGACGAAGATTTGCGTCACTCACTGTCAGAAAGCTTGTCACGAGAAAATGTTCGTGTAGATAGTAATCTTAAAGATATACAGCCACCTATATACTTATCCATAATAAATCACGCATAGACTTCTACGCTTTTACCATATACGCAGACGGAGGAATTCTTACATCCCGAACACCTACTAAAGTATAACGACAGAACACGTCCATTGTACAAGGAGCCAAATAAATTTCTCGATCCATAAATGCATCCAGAATGTTAAATAACCAGTGCCTCTCTATAGAAGATCAGCTGCTTTCTACTGCAGCTTCGGAATTTGCTGATCTAACGGTACATGCATTGCCCACAGCGATCGCGACAATTGCCACCTGATCCACTCGAGACGCGTTAATCCGGAGTACGAACTAACCGGAACGTGTTCCACGATTTCTGGTAGAACGATAACGAAAACGCGATTACTGGAGCTGGACCGTAGCCTTGTTTCCAATTCTGGCGGTACGTTTGAAATTGAAATACCATAAGAGCCTGTTTACACGATTATATCGGGCGGTAAAGCTACTTAGACATCGTTAACAATCTACTAATGTTCTTTTTCATTACACCCCTTTAAATCACAAAGTATTGATTCAAATAATTGAAAGCTTAATTCTTCTTTTTCTTCATTTTTACGATAGGTATTATTGTAAACAGTATTCCTTCAACTGATACAAAGTGTTCTGATTCAATATTATAAGGCAAGAGATCGGAAGCGATCACTATATGCAAGTGGTTCAGAAACGCGGCCAGTAAACTGGTACCACTATAGTAGTTGGTATCGCAAGTACGCGATAAAGGATCATAAAGCAACAGATTGAGATAAATTTTAGAGGATCCAAGTGGTCATAACTAGAGGTATCCGTTTCATTCGATCCGAACTAAAAATTCTATACCTTCGAATACAGTACTCGTTTAAAATATCACCACAATCATTATCCCCAACTCAAAGAGTTAACCTCACCGTCATACCGATCATCTGCGAAAGCCCGCAACAGCGCTTAGCATCACCAGGATTCAAAAGCAGCCCTAAAATCACCCTATAATCCCGTAAATCCCACAGCGCGCGTACGCCAACTGAAAAGCGAGATCGTTTGAGCTGGGCCTTAGCCTGGTTCCCTATCCAGATGGATCGATCGATCCCGGCCGGTGACGTCGCGGACGTCCTGCACGAAATGGAGGACATCAAACGTAACGTCCGTAGTCCGATACGAGTCCGCGATCGTGCCGGCAGGAGGTCAAAGAACGCGAATCGCAAACTCATGCGATCGGCGCGTTGCCGGTCTCTCTCCCCCCTCTCTCTCTCTCTCCCTCTCTCTCTCTCTCCCTCTCTCTCTCTCTCTCTCTCGCTTTCTTTCTCTCTTTCTCTCTTTCTCTCTTTCTCTCCTCTATCCGTCTCATTCTCTTCTTCTTTCTCTCTCTCTTTCTCGAACAACGCTGTCTCAACGCACAGACCGAACAAGGAGACCGGGCAGATGCAAGGGGCAACGAGGACCGAGATAGCTGGTATTCGCCAGCTGCCGTTGAACGTGTTCAATGCCGCAGTTGGAGCAAGAAAGCGGTCGGAGAGAAGAGATCGGTCGCTCGCTCCGCTCGGTTTCGCGGCGGTGGTGGGGATAGGAGCCGTGTGGGCCGCTGGTGCTACTCCAGCTTGGTGTTCCTCTTTCGACTTCAGTTTCTCTCTATACGTACTGGGGAGGTATTGCCATACTCCGAGCCTGGCTAGCATGCTCTAGGCCTACAGTCTCGTAGTTACCTGAACCGCCCGGACCTGGCCTCCGTCACAGGTAGAACATAAAGAAACCGAAACCTCCGGGGACAGAACGAGGATCCAAGTGCCCTCCGCCAGGTGACACCAGGGAAGAGTGCAACGGAGTACACCGCCGCTACGCGAATCAATCCGCAAGAATTAATCGAGTGATCCGTTGGAACTGTTCATCGACTGAGATCCATACGAATCTTCGTAAACTTTCGCATCAGAATAATCGAGGTATAAAAATTGAAAGGAAGACAGATACTTAATCCTCCAGTGACGTCCCAAGAGATAAGTGCAACAGGAAGACTTCAGAGCTAAAAGCAAGAAATAAGAAACATCAGCACATCCGACGGCGGTCTCAAACTCGCGTTCAATTAGGATCGTGTTCCCAGAGCTAGGCACGCCGGTGTCGCGACAGCCTAACGGATCCGTGTCCGGCGATGTTCAGCGGAAAAAGGAGAAATGTGCGAAGCCACCGGTGAACCCGAGAGCGCGAGCCTGGATCATTGATCCCGGGATAAAACAAACTGAACGATACGGATCTCGGATATTACTTCTTAGGGTGCATATCGCCGGCGTTATCAGTGTGCCCCGCATCGCTGCGGTCGGCCCGGTCAATTGTGAGGCTTGAATGAGGAGAATCCTACTGCGGGTCCGATCCGCCACGTCAGGCCGGCCCCGCGAAGATTAAAGGCGGTGCACGGGGGTAAGGAGAGCGCGAGCGCGCTCGGTCGACCGGCAACGGAGAAAATTCACGGAGCCGCTCTAGTGGTAGATTCAAGTATGGTTGACAGTCGACGAGGACGAAGCGAAAGGCAGCTTCGAACTCGTTAACCGGTTTCCGCGGATCGGCATGCAGAACGACACTCGGTGAAGAGTACGCGGCGCGCGCGCGCGGCCGCGAAGTCCCGGGGCCCCTCAATCTTCCGTTGCGTGGTCCCACGCATAAAGCGATCGGACCGGTCCGCGGGATCAGAGACGGATGATCACCTGCCAACGATAATATACCTCGCGAGGGCTCGCTACGGAATCCAGCCGCTTCTCCAGGAGAACCATTGACACCGTGAAACGTATTCCCCCAGCAGCGGAAAGGGGATAATCGTGCCGAAGTGGTACGTTATCGTGAAACGAACTTCGACACTAAAATAGAAACGCGAGTCGGGAGTTGTTCGACTGGATTGTTTGCCTTGGTAACTTGAAGGGACGAGGGTGAACACGGGTGTACGTGACGGGAACGCGCGTGTTCGATCGTCGAAACGTGCCTGCTAGTCGCGCGGTCCGGCGGGATATTTTCGATTCCAGCGGGACAAGTCCGGCTGGAGGTATTCCTGAAAACGGGGCCCCCGGTAGCGGAACGCCGATTTGTGGTTTGAAAAGTGTCCGGAGGAATCCCGGTGATTTCCGTGGCGCTGATCGCGCGCGCGGGTCCGTCGCAGGCCCCCCCTCGTTCTCTCCAGTGAATTCCTCTCGGCGAGAGCGCGGCCCTCGCCGCTCTGCCAGTTGATAAGTGAATGAAGGCTCCGGCCGGTGTTCTGTGCGTGGCTACAGAGCCGGTATGCCATTACTATACGAATTAGAAAGTGTGCTAGGTGATGTGAACAAGTGTGTGCAACGGCCGGTCGAAGCACGCCGGGTTGTATGGAGAACTTGTTGTACGCCTTCGTGGCACAGCGGCGATTTATCGGATAATTTTTCGGTTCGTCGATGAATTATGAACGACCACGAACTTCCGTTGCTGTCTCTGTCCGTTGATAGAGGTTTGATGGTATCCGTTGAATGGAATTCTCAGGGAAAGTGTCTTTCGTTCGTTACCGATCGAGTCTGTGATTTGAACCGTTGCGCGTGCGGGTAGGGTTGGTTTATTCAACGGAAGTGTGTCGAATCAACCGGAAAAATTAGCAAAATTCGGCGAAAGCCGCGAGCCGTGCGCTTCGAGCCGAGTTGGAAGACGAAGAGGTGCAACGGTCGCCGTGGCATGAGGAGGTTCACACGCAGGCGCAAAACCCTGGCCGCATTCTCTGCGATTATGGGACGCCTTGGTAAAGGCTCGCAGAGCACAACGAGGCCCATCTTCAGGGTGCAGTATCGCAAGCTTGTAGACGAGTACTCGCAGCAACAAGAACAGCTGAAGTTTATGCCAGCGTTGCCCGACTACATGTCGTACTGCTGTTGTCGATGTGGTCACACTCAGAAACTCAAAGTAAGTCGTTGTGTAATATATGTGATTATTATTTTTGTTGGATAACGTTATGCGTGAGGATACGATCCTCGGTGCAGGTGCAATCGTAGTAATACAATATCGTTTATCAATGGAAGTTTCGTTGAATGTTGTATTGTAAGCTGTAGGTATTAAGAGTTCTGTTATTTGAGGATAATATTGTACTTTCATTACGGATGTTTTCGTATTTATACAAGTTACGAGTATCTGAGGTTCAATATAATAAAATATTTGATACAACCGAATGAAGCGTACATTTTATATGTATGTAATAGCGTGAAATTAATTAACTGAGAAAATCGATTCTGCTTTCACTCTATTTTTTGTAAATCGTACCATGAAAATCAATATTTGCTTCAATATCCGTAGCACGGTTATATTGATCCGATAATTAAACAGATTGGAATGAAACTATTTACTAAATATTGCTTTTGGTGAACACCAAAAAGAAATTAAATACCATGTTTCCTGAGTGTTCTATAAAATGGATGAAAAAAATTCGAAGAATTATTCTTGAAACATTAATAGAATAATCTAGAGGGATTTTAACCCCTTACTTTATGATTTTCTTTATATCTGAACCTACCCGAATTATTTCATTGTTAATAATTTACTTATATGTATTGTATACATACACATAATACATAAAATATATTTTCTCTAAATATTGAATATTTATAACCAATAAACAGAGCTGCACCCCGACTAAAAAAAAATTAATGGTATTCACGTTTTTTAGGGTTGAAACCTTCGCCACGATTATCACTCCATATTTTAAAACAAGAGTTCATTAGAGTTCATGTTTTCCTTATGGAATCATTTCTTATAAACTTGAAACATCTCAGAAGCTATCAGTAAAATGTAAAATCCCATAGACTTCGATAGAATTTCCCATTATTCCCAAAAACAAATCTTACTACATAATCTTATTAAATTCCAGATTCTCCAAATGTATCCACGAACATATAAACGTACAGAAACGTCTACATTTTAATCATCGCGCATGATTCAATGCATTCTGCCTCATCGCTAAAGTTCACGGTATTAATTAATTGCACCCGCTCTATGGTAATGTGACCTCAACACCATCAACGAACACTCCGCGCTCGAGAAAAACATCGTACATTGTTTCGCCGGTGAGAAGTAAGTTAATTGACTGGCACATCTATTTTCGGAATTGCTTCGCAGCTCGCAAACATGCGACTTGCAAACTTATCTTGTAATGAGCGGACAAAAGGAAAAGAGGTTGGCAGAAGCAAACGCGGCACATACCTCGAAGAGTTGCTTAATCCCACCTTTCGCCGCGCCGAGCAGCGAGAATCGTCAATTTCAGAAAACACCCGGTTCGAATAAAAAGCTCGAAAGGCAGGAAGACGGTCGTTATCTCCGCGGCGGGCGGCGCGGCGGTTGCGAGAGGGTGAATCGGCCGAGTGGCGTATTCAAAAACTCGCGTGAGGATCGACGCATACAACAGCGAGGGGTTTTAATGGGACAAATGGAGGTAACGTGTAACGATTTTCGCATACCCGAAAGAAACCGTGGCGCTGGCGCACGGTAACAACAACCTGTCACTTCCCATGCTATTTTGTACCTGTTCGACCGGTCGACGTGTTAAATAGCTCCACAGCGCGTAGTAAGTTCTAAACGAACTGGTTAAGCCAAACATGGCCGATGAAAACGGGTATACAAGAAAATGTAAAGAGCGACGGATTGGCTTCCAAGACGAACGATCCAAGGCGAGCCAGAGAGTTGAGCCCCTACGGAAAAAGTTGGAATTTTAAGGTTTCAAGGAAGTCGAACAAATATCTAAAGCGAAGAAGGAATTCGTCGCGGGGCAGAGGGGAAAAAAAAGAAACGTGGTCGTCGTACCGGGAAACTGTCTAGCCGGCTATCTGGCTGGAATACTTCTGAAAAGGGACGCATTAATGTTGACTGAAAGAGGCGCACTTGATCATTTCCGATAAGCAATCTACGACACTTTGTACACGGGTTTAAATCACGGGGAGGCATTAATCTCTATCGACGTGTGTGTACCTGTTAACTAATGATTGGTGGAGAATGTTAAGAATCCGTCGTCAATGAAGTAGAATTTAATTGTAGGATCATTTCCGATCTGGCCTGTTCTTCTAAGCAATCGTCCTTTGAAGCTGTATAAAGATGTTCTTATAGAAATTATTTCGTGGGTTTCAAGGATAGTCAGTATTAAATATATCCTTGTATTAATCCTTAATTACCGAGGTGAATCCGATTTACCCCATTCTTCTACATTTTAAATTCTCATCCGTTTCCCAGCGAAACGTGTTTCGATCTTAACTACCCGAATCCAGCTTTGATAGAATAAAATTTGTATTTCATCGGAACGCTTTGTTCCGACGCGGCTAACAAAGTCGAGCGGCTCCGCTCGATTTCCTGATTAACTCGATAAGCAAGGAAGTCAGGCAGATCGATTTTCGAGTGGAAATAGATCGTCGAATTTGTCTATCGAGGATAGAATCACCGATCATTCGAATGCATACAGAAGCCTTCGAACAGCCTAACCTTAGCGATATTACCGTCCAGGAGCGAGGAGAGGCGAAGAAGAGAGAGAGAAAGAGAAAGTGCGCGAGGAAAGAGAAAGAGTGGGGAGGGGATAAGCCGTGGGATCGGACGGGCACATTCCTCAGGTCCGTACTTATAGCTGTTCGTGGCATCAGATGCCTCATGCTTGCTGCCTCTTGCTCCTTTACCGATAGAGTGCCTGCATAATACTGATATTTCAGCGGGGCCCTCCATGCCTCGAACATACTCCCGTATTTGAGTCGCGGAGATTCAAGAAATTCGGTAGAATTCACAGGAAAAAACGTGGCAACGTTCGAACAGTCGCCTTATAACATCCAGCCAGATATACTGCGGAGACGTTAAATTAAATTTCATAAATAATAATTGCATACACGCTGTTTGCAGAAGAATTTAAGGAGCGAAAACTAAGTGAATCTTTATTCTCCTCCACGCTGTTTTCAGGGCAATGAAATGAGTAGTGGTAAATTTCATTTGACCTTACATTCTTCAAATTTTTCGAGATTCCCGTTCACTGTAACTGCATGGCGATCCGCGGTCGAACAGTAATGTTCGTTACCTCACGCTCATTGAAAATATATGTTTTGTGCTTAATATTCTACAATGATCAATTAATAGTTTTAATCACAAAATTTACTCTAGAACTATATTAGACGAATTGAGAAGGTTGGATTGATTTTTAAATCCCGAAAGCAAATAAAAATCTGCCTACTTTATTGCAAGTGTTGACAGAGAAGGAATAAAACAGAAGTCCTATTACCGTTAATTAATTCAATGTTTATTATTCGTCATACGTGTATAAATATATTAAGATTAATTACGCAATGAATAACTGTTACCACAGCAAAACTGACACTGAATCTGATATGCATACGATTTCGTGCGACGGGATAGAAGTAAATAAAAGAAAACTGAAATAGAGAGCAACGTTGAGGTACTTATCGCCACTTTCCACGTAAATCGTCTTCAATCCTTTTTTAACTCCGCCCTTTAAAGTTATGCCCGGCCCAGACGCATTTATCGCGATGCATTCGCCCTACTTCCTCCCCGTGACACGTCGCGCGCACAGTTCCCACACTACCGACTAGCACAATTTAGATAAACCACGTTGGTGGAGAGATTAAAAGGTTAGCTGAGAAAACAGAGTACGTTAATTGCAGCCACTTGAACCGTGGCTCCAGCAGAAGTAACAAAATGACTGGGCCATACCTTAAGGACCCCCTAAAAAGTGAACTATTCTACAAAAAGTTTCATTTTCACGTTCTGTTTCGTCGTTTTACAGAAGAAGTATCCGTTTCCCGAGTTATTTCGAGAAACAGTCTCCCGAAATGATGTTCTAGCTTTTTTAATTTATGTAATTTTCAAAACTATCTTGTAGAATAACTCTATCATTAATCGACGCGTTAAATGAACATTAATTTCGTACAAAGCATTATTACTGTTAATACAACACTTTATAAAAGATATATTGAAGCATATTCCTAATTATCTCTAAACAATCAATCCCCTAAAATCTATTACAAATTACTTTTAATCCACGTAGAATCAATTTGAATAACACAAACTTAAGAATTTATTGGAACTATAAAACTCTGGTAAATATTCAGAACAGAAATCAACAATTTTTATCCAACCCTGCTGCGAATATTTAAAACTGCATTCTTCTCCTTCAAACATTTGTAGCTTCTAGTTTCACCGATCTCACGGTTCACCCGTACGGAAATTGTACTCTGCGCGCCCTTCGCCAAGGAATTTTCAACGATTGTCCGTATCATAGGAAATTCTAACAATTCCGATCGCATCTACCGTTGTTCCAGCAATTACGTAACGACCGCGAGCCGACGAAATGTTAGTAGGTCCACACAAGTCGGATTACCAATTCACCCTGAGATTAAGCGAGGGTGATAGCGAGCGAAACTCAGCCGTACTCTTATTCCGATCCACACGAGAACGTGTAATCGATAACCGGCGCAAAGAACGATCGAATGCTTTCGGTTTTCTCTTTCTGCATGATACACTCGAGTGGGACGATCATTGCAGAATATTCTAATATGTTGAACGGGCACCGTATATTAACACACACTGACATTCGAACGGTTCTACCCTCGCCGCCGCCGCCGCTTTCGTAATCTAATGCCCGCAAATCACTATGCCTGGTTCTATCACCTTAAACTTTGTATCTGATTTCTATTGCTATAAATTTTCCGCGGCACAATGAAACTTACTATTCAGCAGATTGAATTAATATGAATTTATATAGTATTGCAATCTGGATTACAGAAATCACTCGCTGCAGATACATTGGTACGACCGTTGCAACGGGCGAAGATTTATTCCGCAATCACAGTTTTGTTTGAACACGATAATGAATAGGGAGGTAATTGTATCTAACAAGAATACTTCTCGAAGGTACAATTTTATTGAGA